CAGGTGCGCAGTCTGACACAGGACTAACAAATAAAGACCACACTCACATTCACACCTGTGGGAAAGTTATAATGATAAGTGGAAAACTAGATTGCTGTGAAACTGTGAACATCAACACAGAAAAGTACTAAACAACACAGCACAACATCTGCCAAATTCAGTCACATTCATGCCGTTCAAGCTTCCTTTGTGACAAAATCAAAATATACAAGGACACGATGGTTCACTCGGTGTTATCAAAGCTATAACTGTTAACATGAAATAAAGCCCTCACATCTTTTGCATATTATTTGGGACTGTTACATTTAAAGGGAAAGTCACTTTTCTGCTCTTTCTTTAACCAAATTCCAAAACCAAATATAAAGGTACGTTTGACAAAACTTAGTATCAAACTAAACTTGGTTATTTAGAGTGTTTACCATTAAGATGAACGATGCAAAAGGCTTTCAGTTTTGGCACAAAACACCTGTAACGCCCGCTATCAGACAGGCGTGCTGAGAAGATCTGCAGGGTTAGATTTCCTCTGCTAAGGTCTCCAGAGTTGATACTTGCTCTGCTTCTATAGCTCGCCGCCTGTGCACCATGATTTTCCTGCCCGTGTCGCCACGAGAAGACAACATCGTTCAAGTCAGTTTGTTTCCAGTCCACGGTATAAGCAGACAGGTCAACTGAGGGATCCACATAACATGGTAATGAGACATTACGACCTTCTTCTGCCTGAATCAGTGGGGATGGGCAATAGCTTTGAGGAGTTTCTGGGGAGGAAAAAAAGCAACATTTATATAATTTGACAGTCTCCAAATTACATTTGAATTCTCAACGAAATGTGTTAGTTTATTGTTCAGTAGCAGGACTTCAAGCATTCTGAGCCCACAGTCAGATCTTTTTTACCCTAAGAAATTCCAAAGGACCCAGAGCAGGAAGTTTATAGACATCTGCTCAGATGGAAATACCACCTTCCATCTAAAGTGTAACCATAACTGCACTCTTATTAACCGCATCGGTTCGCCATAAAGCCAACAATGATGCAAACAAAAACCACTCCGACAAAATAAGCTGATGATCACGATTTCTGTTCGCAGCCAAAGAAAATGCCGGTGCTGACTCTGGCGGCAGAGCACTACAAATGCTCTACTGCCGATAACCTGTTCGTCGACTGATTAAAAGTATCATCATGCCATTAACGGCTTTGGAAATCTTCCTCTCCCTGCTTCTTATCAGTGTTGCGCCAAAAATCGATTTAGTGTTTCCGCTGTAAACTTCAAGAGTTGAGAAGCCACAGAGTTGCATCACACAACAGAAGCCATTAGGTTTTTAACACCGGTAAAATCATACAGGCTTACAAATACACGAACAGCCTGTAGTTCTCCTAGTGATGTAAACGTACAAACTTGCCATTTAAATAAGTTGGAGTTACCTGCTGAAGAAAAAAACCCAAGAAAGCACAGCGCGATGATCGGAGCGAGTGTGTCCATAAGGGGAGCCAAAACATTTACGCGGCCAGTTAAGCGCAGGTTCGTCTGAGCTAGCTGTACACGAGCTAGCGCTTAACGACGAACCACCTCCCTCCCGTCCGCAGACATAGTTTACCCGTCTACACTGCAAATGTCACTAAATGCCGCTGTTAGCACAAGTTTAGGCACGTTTTTGTTTCTTCAGATTAAATGTTCTTTATAGGAAAATGTCAGTTTACAGGGAATGTAA